TGTGGTCTTTAGTAGCCACAACTCAGGCCCATGGCCCAAAGTGCAAACTGAGTTGCTCAAAAGAGAATGTTGTAAAACAAAAACAAATGAGATTTTACATTTACAAAAACAAAAATGTTGAATCATTTTTTTGGTATCAAGAGATATTATACTGAGCTGGCCCTGGACCCTGTGTGTGCTGTGCTGGCCATGAAAACCAGGCGTGGTGGCACAGACCTATAACCCCAGTGCTGAGGAGGCTGAGAAAGGAGAATCACTACGAGTCTTAGCTGTATATCGAGACCCTGTACCAAATAAATAAAAGATTTTTAGAAAGAAAGAGTTTACAACCTAATGTGAAAAGCAATAGAAAACATGAGATCACATTTATTCAGAGAGAATAAGCAGAAGAAAGCCTAAGAAGCCTGCTGGGTTACAGGGATTTGAAACTTGTTTTTTGTTTTGTTTTGGGTTTTGTGTGTGAGAGTATGTGTGTTTTCTCATTAACTTTCCTCAAGGGATTGCACACACTTGAGATCCCAGTGCTCTAGGAGGCTGAGGCAGGAGACTCACAAGTTGAAGCCCCGTCTGGGCAACTTCATGACTAAGACCCTATCTTTAAAAAAAAAAAAAAATTTAAAAAAGGCTGCAAATGTAGTTCAGTGAGTAGGAGAGGGAGAGGGAGGAGGAGGAAGGGAAGAGGGAGAGGAGGAGGGAGGGGAGGGGAGAGGGAAGAGAAGATGGGAAGGGAGGGGCAGGGGCAGGGGCAGGGTATGGACAAGCAGGGACATAGGTGACTTGTATTAACAAACTAGGCCAATGGCTCAATGGTAGAAGGGGGCTTCACAAGGGCAAGGTTTTGCATTTGATCCCCACTACCAAAAAAAAAAATACTTGGCTCCTTTTAAGAAATTTAGAAATACAGGATCAAAGAAAAATGAAACTAACACTACAATTACAAATGCAACCTCAGCCAGTGAGATAGCTCAATGGACTAAGCGCCTGCTTAGGCAAGTGCAAGGGCTGGGGTTCAACCCCTGGCACCACAGGCGGCAGTGGCCCAGCCCCTAGTCACACTGAGCCAGTGACTGAATCTGGGCATAGGAGAGGCTAAAAACAGGTGGATCACTGAGTCTGAACTATGTGGTGAGACCCTACACAAAATACAAAATACACACACACACACACACAAAAAAAAAAGCAATCTTAACTATATTATCATCTAAAAGAAAAAATAAAACTGGCCAATTATGCACTAGCTACAGTGATGCAATACAGCTGGCTGCTGCGGGGCTTCAGTGGGAAACTGGGCAAGGCCTGGCACCCCCACCCCCAGGCTTGGATGCCTTCCTGAGCCACCCTCAGAGCAGTGCCAGGACAGGGGTAGCATCTCTTGAGATTTTGAAATTCAAATTTCCAAACACATCTCTGACCTACAGGATCAGCAGCTCCAAAGATGGGGTTAACAAGCCACGTAGGGACTGCTGCTCTTGCTGAAGTTACTGCTGCTACCAGGAATGGCACAGTGAGTGACACAGAAGCAGCAGTGTCCCCTCTAGGTGAAACAGCTTCTCTAGTTAGAGCTGTTTTTGTACGTGATGCTGAGGAACAAGCTCAGGAGCACTCTACCACTGAGCTACATCCCCAGCCCTTTATGCTTTTAAATGTATTTGGTTGTTACAGGGCCTCACTACGCAGCTCCCCTGTGCCGGGATTACGGGTGTGTGCCAGCATGCCTGGGGCACAGTGGCAAGGCCTATGGTGCCAGGGATCGAACTGCAGTCCCCGTGCTTGCGTAAGCAGGCACTTCAGTATTCTGAGCTATCTCACTGGCCCCAGCCCTTTACATTTTGAAACAAGGTTCTGGGCCTGGCTTAAATTTATGATCCTGCCTCAGTATCAAAAGTGCTGGAAGAGCAGGAGTGTGCCACTGAGACCAGCAGGAAAACATATTTCTCGTTCAAAACTCTCTGCCATTTGCATTCACTCTCTGGGACCAGAAAGTAATGTATTCAACAGTAAAAGGACAAACTAGAAAAAATATATATATTTTTTAATTAGGTAGAATCCTGGAACTGCTCATTTTGAGATAATTTATAAACCACTGCAGTGGAATCAAACTGAAGAAAATGAAATCTAGTTTGTCAGAATGAGAAGGAATTGATGTATTTCAATATTTAGATGATTTGAAAAAAAGACTAGAGATGTAGTAGTTCAGGGGTAGAACACCTGCCCAGCACTCCAGCATAGAAGGAAGGGAGAAAGCTAACCCGGCAGGAAGAAAAGGAGATAAGGAAGAAAGGAAAGAACTGTCAATGGAGAATAGAACAAACTACAGTCATCCCTGAAAGACCAAGTTAGACTTCTGTGACTAGGTCACTAGGTGAACTGGTCACTAAATGAGAAATTATACATAGAATACTCGTTACAATATTCAGAACAAAGAAATGGTCAAAGGAAACTCCGATTTGATGACTTTGCTTTTATTTGCAAAACTCGTAATGCAGTACTGTAATGTGTAGCAGAACATAAACTACAGTACAATCAGCAAAAATACAGTACTGTATAAATAGGGTGTATTATACACAAAAAGAGCATTGAAGCTTTATAAACAAGATGTACAGAACATAAAAATAAAAGTCACAAGTCTGAACAGTCATTAAATAGGTAAGTTATTAAACAAGTAACATTCAGGCTACAAGTGCCACACTGATGGGAACTGCTTATTTCAGTTCCTCTGGCCTCCAATTCAAATGAACATGTTTACAGTAGAAAGGCCAAGGGATGGCAGGAGGAGGAAGGTGGAGATGTCACAGGGACTAGGATGTGTTATGTATGTGCATTAACACCTCAGATGAAGGAAACTACCAAGTACTGCAAATGTGCTGATAAAAAACTGAAAAACTGTTAATGGTTAAAGAAAATAAAGTACAAGTATTTCAACAATGTTAACTACTAGTCTTGTCTAACAGGTCACATCAGTCCTCACAACTTGAAATTTTGGTAAATGCTGTATTTGAGACAGACAATTGAAATACCAGATCCTCTTCCACACTTCCAACTGCAATTTTTTTTTTCCAGTACTGGAGATCAACCCCAGGGGTGCCCTACCTCTAAGTTACATCCGCAGCCCTTTCTAGATTTGATTTTGAGACAGTGTTTCACTAATAATAACTTGAAACTAGGTATTAGTATGAAATACTAGTCTGATTATGTGTGATTACACTAGGTTTCTGCTCAGGAACAACCAACTCATACAGAGCCTTGTATATTGTTTTCAGACAACGCTACACACAGGTGTTCTGTCATAGCGACTGAAAGCAACATGGGAAGTGAAGACACAACCACATACACAGTGCCTATCCATGCCATCAAGCAGCCTCCCACCACAAACAGCACATGCACCTGACGGTCACTGAAGAATTTCTGGACATATCCTGTGCACGGCCTGACAGCAGCAGCCCAAAGCCTGCACCAAAGAACCAGCAGAGCAACTCTGGCCCAGACCAGCCTCACCTCCAACTGCTCACAAATGACCTTGGGCAAATCAGTCTTTCTGCCTCTGTCTTCTGGCCCTAAGTTAGGAGTCAACTTATTACCACCTCACAGTAAAACTAAACCAGACTGAGGAACGGGGCAGTTAACCAGTGATAACACAGAGAGCTGGGTGTGGTGGTGCCCGGGGAGGCAGAGGCAGGAGGAACGCTCTGAGTTCAAGACCAGCTTGGGCTACAAAGTGAACTCAAGGCCAGCCTGAACTGCATAGAGAATCTGTCTCAAAGAGATAAAAAATAAATAAAAATAAAATACACAGAATTCTCTAGAAAGGTGTTCTGCCACAGTATTTATACCCATAGGTATTGTTTTGGACATTGTGTGCCCAGTGGGAATGCTGCAAATATGTAAAACACTTAAAAACCTCAACTATATTAACACACACTTAAAAAGATGCTGTCTTCTGTCCTGGTGTGGTGGTGCCCGCCAGGAATCCCAGCACTCATGAGGCTGAGGCAAGAGGATCTCTGCAAGTTCAAGGCCAGCCTGGACTACATATTGAGTTCCAGTCTAGCTTGGACTACACAACAAAATTTTGTACTGCAAAACAAAACAGAAAGATACCACCTTCAATAGGAACAGTCAGGAACACCTGAACTCCATTCTCCACTGACACACGTGATTTGGTTCTCTAATAAACACTTAAGACCACAGCCTGAGACGTCAGCACACCAATGAGAACACTGCATAACCACACTCTGCAAAACGCTGGATGAGAGAAACGCCTTCTGTGTACACGTCACAAAAATTATCGCAAAATCCCCAGAAAGAGTTTCATCACTCCGATCCAGTTTTCATCATAAAAGGTGGGGCAGCAAAGGTCCAGAACTCAGCCTGGCGCGGCAGCCCACGTGGTGGCCTGTCATCCCAGCACCCGGGAGGCTGAGGCAGGAGAACTGCAAGTTTGGAGCCATACAGCCAATTCAAGGAGTCTGAGCTACAGTCCAATCCAGTCCAAGGCCAGCCTGGAACACTTAGCAGACCCGGTATCAAAGTAAAAAAGCCCCACCCAGACCTCACGGCCGCTTCACCCCGCCGGCACAGCCTTCGGGAGCAGCCTGGACTGGCCTCCCGCTCCCGCGCAACACCGAGGCGACCAGCCCACCAGGAGGAAACACCCACGACCGCAGCGAGCAGAGCTGCGGGCTCAGGGACGGAGACCTGCTCCGGGGCAAGCCCGCTCCCCCACGCAGGGCAGGAACGCGGGGCGAGCCCCGCAGCCCCACGCCGGCTCCAGAGCCCGAGCC